GGCTCCAGAGTTTCCTCAAGTTCCTTCTTGTGTTGTCGTGCAGCTTCATCGATGGGTCTGAATCTGTGGTTGGAGTGTTTTTCTGAATCTCTGCAGATGTGACACACTGGCTGCTGATGGTCCAGACAGAAGAGTTTGAGTTTCTCAGAGTGCAGACTGCAGAGAGCCTCTGAAGATCTCTGATCTCTCTCCTGTAAGAACCTCTCACACAGGTTCTTTAAAGCCAGACTTAAAGGTGGATTGTCCATTGAAGATCTTCTCTTACAAACTGGACACTCACGTGTTTGTTTCTCTGTCCACCAGCTCTTCAGACAGTCTTTACAGAAGCTGTGGCTGCATGACAGAAGAACAGGATCTCTAAAGACATCATGACAGACCGGACAGCAGAAATCCTCCTCTAATCTGGAAGCCATTTTGTCTCTGAGTGCAGCTGGAAACAGGAAACAGCACGTTAAACATGAACTCAGGTGTGTTTCCTCACCCTGCTGTAAAATGTTGCATCAGTTACTTTCACTTTGAGTCTTTGAGTGTTTATTTCAGTCAGCAGCAGGTTGAACTACTTCAGTTTACTTCAGTACTTCGTCCTGTAACTGTTCTCCCTCAGTTAAAGTCACAGATTTGTAATGAAGGTAAATCTTACCGTCTGTCTCTCCGTCTGTGTGTCTCTCCTCAGTGAGAACTGAACAGGAACAACCTGTTTCCTGGTTGGTCTCAGGTGATGTCAGTAAGGGGTGGAGCTTTGTCAACTCACTGCTCTGAGATCAGTCACAAAGAAAAAACGACCACAACAAATTCATTCTCACTGATATTTCTGTTTTACTTTGTTTTAAATTATCTTAAAGAGAAAATATTAGAAAATACAAAACAATCAGTCCATTTCTATATAGTCCAGTTATATTTCACTAATATATTTTGGAAGTTCTAGTAAGATTATTTACTGGTTTAATACAAATTAAATTAATTTTCAGTTATTTTTATTTTTATTTTTTGATTATTTTTGGTTGCTGATCTTCAATTCAAAATAATAAAAAATGAATTTAAAATGACACAGTATAGATTTAAAACAAACAAACATAAAGATCAGAAAACGAACTAAACAATTTTACATCTGAAAAAGGTCGACAATAGAAAACAAAAAGCTGATTTTCAAACAAAAAGAAAATAAAAACAATAAAAAACAATAAGTGACAGAAAAAGAAACATATTGAAAATAATTTTGTCAAACATGTTTTGCATTAGAATCTGATTTTAAGAAAATATTTCTAACTGTGTCTTAATAAGATCTTACAGCTAATATTGAGTTTGATTTAACCAGTAACAACAATGGTTGCATAATATCCCAGCAGAAGGAGATTATTGTACTTATTTTCAGAGTAAGAGCACTCGCACAACTTCTCAGTTTAAGAGAAAGTCGTCTGGTCCCAGTGTTGGAAATGAAGCAGCTGTTTAGTTTTTATTGCTTTAATAAAAAAAATTATAATAATAAGAATGTTACTGGTTCCTTCATTTAAGTCAAAGTCACTTATTTTTATTATGTTAAAAGAAATTGTGTCTCATTGTAAGATTGCTAATTATTAATCTTAAATTAAAGGTACAAATTCTTAAATTAAGATCAATGAAGTAAACAAAATACCTTTTTTAAGAACTTTAAATAACTGAATTATGAATGCTTGTAATAAAAAAAAACTTGTTAAACCTATTAAAGTATTTCAGTGGTTATATTAAACCAATCACATCTAATATTACTTCCATACACACAGGCTGTTTTTGTAGTTTTCATCTAATCGTAACTTAAATTTGGCTTCAGACCATAAATAACAATTCAAATCAAGAAGAATGTATTTTAGTGTACAGAAAAGCCATTAAAAGAGGTAGAAAGAGAAAGTTTTACACATACAAACATCACTGTGTATTTATCAACCACAACAACTAATGTAGATTAACGGGCTGTATGAGTGGAGATGTGACCGTCTTTTACACATTTCACAGCAACAAAGAAGATTAGTGAGCAAAGATGGATGATTTAATATTTAATATTAATGTTCCAGAACTCTGATTTAATCAAAATATTGTTAACAACAACAAACAAACAGTTCTGACTCTCAGATTGTTTGTTTTTCTAGTAAAGTTCATCAAAAAACATTCATAAAACATAAAGTCTATCAATCGCTTTGCATAAGAATTCAAAATTTATTATTATTATTATTATGGGCCGATAATTGATCGGCCGTAATTTAATAATCCAGATTGGTAATAATATAAATTTCCCACCATCAGCCGATAATTGATCTGCTCTGATAATTATCGTGCATCCCTAATTTCCTGTCTATTTCCAGTTTTTCAAGGTTTTCCAGGACGTTTGAACCCTGTTTTCCTTTTGTTTATGTGACTAGATTTCTTGTATCATAGGTGTTGTTGCAACCATTTATTTCCCACTGGGAATAAATAAACCTATAAATAAACATATCTTCTTGTTGTTGCTGTAGAAAATAAACAATAACAAGTCTTTAAAGTCGGTTAATATTTCGTATATTGTCACTGTGATCGGTCTGTTTGCCCCAAAGTTGAACAGAGAATCAGATCTTTACTCTCTAAAAGCTCCGTGTTAAAAGTTTAAACAAAGCCTGAAAACTGCAGCGCTCAGAGGGAGCATCAAAAAGGACCCAGTCGCAGACGGCAGAGCGGGCTCCATCCTTTCCCACAGATCTGAATCAGGGGTTGAATCTTTGGCACACAAAAGAACGGTTTCAGGATTGTTTTTTCCATTTTCCATCAAAAATTACCTTAAAATTTACAGTAACTTACTGGAAACAATTAACCAGCAAGTTACTGTAAATATGTTTTACAGTAGACATACTGTACTTCCATTTACAGTATTGGTGTAGTTACTGTAAAATAAATACCAATTAAATACTGTGATTTCAGTTGTTTTTACAGTGCTGGTTTATTTACTGTACAAATAAAAACAGTTAAGCACTGTTATTTTTTTAAATGGTATTGTAAATGGCAATACTGTACTATTAACAGTGGGTAACAGTTGATCATTGTAAATTCAGTTACTCACTGTACAATTTAAATACTGTATCACTTTGACTTACTATTATCCAACATTAATAGAATGACCCATATTCTAAAATATTTCAATTAACTGAAAAACAAGAAAACAAGAAAATTGTTAACACAATTATTTATTTAAAACATTTGGTGAACAGGAACATGATAAAGCACAGGTTACCAAACTTTTCAGACCAAGTACCACTTCAGAACCAACACAACAATGAAAGAGACACCTCTACTTTGTCTGACTACTGCAACTACCCAGGCACGCCTGAAACATTAGAAACAAGAAATCAAAAATAAAAAAGCTAGTTACGTCAGTCGAGCTTCACAATTATACATTTCCTTTAAAATACTGAACATTTGCATGAACAATGCATCAGGACACTGTAAAGTCCTCTCATTCCCCTCACACTTGAAATAAAAGTCAATGGCCTCTTGCTTGCCCTGAACTTGGAGACCCAGATCCCAGTTGGAGCCCTGAAATTAAAGAAGAAAACACAAACAATTACATTTATTACAATCACTTTGTAATGCACCACGTATGTGATGAGGGTCTAAGATGGTGATGTCGTGTCAAGGTACTTATTCCTGATAGAAAGTGTATCAAATACCCAAAGAGGACAGTGCTGCATTCAGTTTAAGGTAGCCGACATTTTGATTCAAGATGCAGTTGAGTTTAGCAATGTGTTAAAATGCTTAACGAGATGTTGAATTAACTGTGATTAACATGTTTTTGATTGATCATGAATTACAGCATGTTTGATTTTTCCTGCTGAAGTCGACTCAAGAGCCTTCATCAGTGGACCATAGTCTCCATCAGCATTCAATCACTGACACAACAGTAGCTTAACACACATTATTTAATAAGATATCTGAGAGAACATCTTTGAATAAACCATCTTGAACTTTCAATGCAAAAGCTATCGTCAGAACCTCACCTGCATCTAGTCAGTTTGCCAATCGAACTCAGTGAAGTCCCTGATGAAGGAGATTGGGGGTTCATGTATGAAGTCTTCCGCTTCACCACTCTCCCAGTCTTCCGGCTCATCTGCTCCTTGGCACTGCACTTGGTGGAGTCCGGATTAATCCTAACTAAAAACCTATGAAAATGAGTACAGGAGTTAAGGGTGGGACAATATGTACATGTTAACGAGTAACCGGTTACAAATCATAACTGTTTGCAGAGAAAAACAAAACAAACTTTATTAAATAGATCAAAATAAAGAAAATACAGTATCTTGGACATGCATTAACTTATTTCTCAGAATTCTGTTTTCCTTTTACTGATTAGAGGTGATAATACTGTCTGAAAAACACTTGTTACTACAAGTGTTGACACAAGCGCAGTTATGTTACAAGTAATACATGTATGGGGCATAATGTCACATTAATTAAAAAATGCCAGTGGGAATAAAGTTAAGTATATATATTTATCAGGCACACGCAATGCATGTAGAAGAATCAGCAGTGCTTACTACTCAGTCATAAATACTCTCCAGGAGCGAGCAGACAAGGAGCTTTGTTGCGGAGTCAGAACCGCAAACTTGCTGCGTTGTTCGCGGTTAGTCCGGTTTTGAAATGGCGTGACTGGCCCATTAGAAGCACGACCGTTGACCTCTCTTGATCCTCATTGGATAAATTGAAAGTGAAGCGGGAAAAAACTTTGATACAAAATAAAAGTCCCATAATAAGTCAATTTGACCCTTCGATAAGCCCCGCCCCCTTAGTTACTGTTGCTATGTCAGAGCCCGTCTATGGATCCTTATTAGACATTCTTTGGAAATATAAAGTTTTCAGTGATATCAATAACAGATATTCCAAAGGAAATTACAACAAATGTCTGGAAAAACTGTTAGAGAGATATGATGAGATGAGATAAGAAGACATATATAAGATATAAAGGGTCAAACTTATGATAAAAAAAAAACATTAGATCAAAATTATGAGTTAATCATTGTTTTTATTATGATATACTTTTCTAAAAATCTAATACACACAATAAAGGAAAAATACAGTAGTTTACTATTTACAGTACTATACTGGCTACTGTGATTTTCTACAGTAACACTTAAACTACTGTGATTTTGTCACGTGGACAAGGTTTTATTGTAAAATTTACAGTATTCTACTGTAAAAATCATACACAGTAATGTTACTGTGTTTACTGCAGTAAATAACTGTAAATTTCACAGCCATTTTTTACAGATGAGAAAAAAGAAATAGAATTAAATAACAAAATAAAACTGAAAAATACAAGATATAAAGAAAAGGAAATAGAATTAGGTTTTTATTGTTGTTCCAGTGTTGGAAATGAAGCAGCTGTTTAGTTTTTCATTGTTTTAATAAAAAATGATGAAAATAAGAATGTTTCTGGTTCCTTCATTTAAGACAAAGTCACTATTTTTATTATGTTTGAAGGAATTGTGTCTTATTGTAAGATTTGTTTTGCTAATTAGGGCACAAATTCTTGAATTCAGCTCAATTGGCTACGTATTTCCTCAATACCTGAACATTTGATTATATTTAATAATATCTGTCTGTTCCTGCAGTGTTGGAAAAATGAGGAACAGGTTTCAGTTTAACAGGATCAATTCAGAGACTTTTCTAATAAACTAAAAATATAATCATCCTCTTTATCTCTAACTGCTCTGTTCCACTGTCACACTGACCTTCACTGGTAATATCTTCAGTGGGACTTTATCCCAAATGATGATTACTGGAAACATCCTCTCAGTGAAAGTGTGTGTGAAGGTGTGTATGTGTGTGTTAGTATCAGGATCAGAGAACAACAGCTTTCCTCTGTTCCAGTCCAGATTCACTCTGATCCTCTGGACCTTCTTCTGAACTACAAGACCAGTTGATGGAGCTGGTGGTGACCGTGCTGAGTATTTACCTTCATAGAAACCTATTACCCATAATCCAGACAGTTTGCGTCCCTTCCTCTGGACAGACTCTGCTGACACACCCAGTAACCAGTGTGTATTGTCTCCAACCTCGACATCCCAGCTGTGAGTCCCTGAGTTAAAGCCCTCAGAGCCCAGAACAAAGCAGAACCGATCAAACCTCTCTGGATTATCAGGAAGCTGCTGTTTCTCTCCTCTAACACTGGTCAGATCTTCAGACAGGATGAGGTCTGGATGAGCAGTGTTTGGATCCAGAATCACAGGACTGTAGGAGACCATGTCCTTCATCTTGTTCCAGATGTTGAAGGTCAGGTTGCCCAGGTGTTTGGCCTCGTCTATCAGAGCTCCTGAGGGCAGCTGTGGATCCTCCAGCAGGGGGCGCTGCTGGACTCTTTCCACTGCAGCCTTGTAGTTGTTCAGGAATGAGACGTCTTCAACTCTCAGCTCCTCCTCTGTGGCTCTGACTGTGTCTGAAAGAGCTGCTATCTCTCTGCTCAGAGCCTCCATCTTCTCCTTCATCATCTGACTCTTCTGCTCCTCTTCCTCCCTCAGTGCAACCAACCTGGCCTCCTCTTCCTCTTCTAGAAACTGGTGAAGCTTCTTAAACTGGTCCTTAATCTTCCTCTCTGTGCGTCGGGCCTGGACCTTCATGTGTTCTGCTGTTTGATCAAACTTCACTTTAACTCCTTCACAAACCTTTAACTTCTCCTTTAAAGGCTCCAGAGTTTCCTCAAGTTTCTTCTTGTGTTGTCGTGCAGCTTCATCAATGGGTCTGAATCTGTGGTTGGAGTGTTTTTCTGAATCTCTGCAGACGAGACACACTGGCTGCTGATGGTTCAAACAGAAGAGTTTGAGTTTCTCAGAGTGCAGACTGCAGAGAGCCTCTGAAGATCTCTGATCTCTCTCCTGTAAGAACCTCTCACACAGGTTCTTTAAAGTCAGATTACAGGGTGGTTCTTCCCTCGAAGATCTTCTCTTACAAACTGGACACTCACGTGTTATTTTCTCCTTCCACCAGCTCTTCAGACAGTCTTTACAGAAGCTGTGGCTGCATGACAGAACAACAGGATCTCTAAAGACATCATGACAGACCGGACAGCAGAGATCCTCCTCTAATCTGGAAGCCATTTGGTCTCTGAGTGCAGCTGGAAACAGCAAACAGCACGTTAAACATGAACTCAGGTGTGTTTCCTCACCCTGCTGTAAAATGTTGCATCAGTTACTTTCACTTTGAGTCTTTGAGTGTTTATTTCAGTCAGCAGCAGGTTGAACTACTTCAGTTTACTTCAGTACTTCGTCCTGTAACTGTTGTCCCTCAGTTAAAGTCACAGATTTGTAATGAAGGTAAATCTTACCGTCTGTCTCTCCGTCTGTGTGTCTCTCCTCAGTGAGAACTGAACAGGAACAACCTGTTTCCTGGTTGGTCTCAGGTGATGTCATTAAAGGGCGGAGCTTTGTCATCACACTGCTCTGAGATCAGTCACAAAGAAAAAACGACCACAACAAATTAATTCTCACTGATATTTCTGTTTTACTTTGTTTTAAATTATCTTAAAGAGAAAATATTAGAAAATACAAAACAATCAGTCCATTTATATATAGTCCAGTTATATTTCACTAATATATTTTGGAAGTTCTAGTAAGATTATTTACTGGTTTAATACAAATTAAATTAATTTTCAGTTATTTTTATTTTTATTTTTTGATTATTTTTGGTTGCTGATCTTCAATTCAAAATAATAAAAAATGAATTTAAAATGACACAGTATAGATTTAAAACAAACAAACATAAAGATCAGAAAACGAACTAAACAATTTTACATCTGAAAAAGGTCGACAATAGAAAACAAAAAGCTGATTTTCAAACAAAAAGAAAATAAAAACAATAAAAAACAATAAGTGACAGAAAAAGAAACATATTGAAAATAATTTTGTCAAACATGTTTTGCATTAGAATCTGATTTTAAGAAAATATTTCTAACTGTGTCTTAATAAGATCTTACAGCTAATATTGAGTTTGATTTAACCAGTAACAACAATGGTTGCATAATATCCCAGCAGAAGGAGATTATTGTACTTATTTTCAGAGTAAGAGCACTCGCACAACTTCTCAGTTTAAGAGAAAGTCGTCTGGTCCCAGTGTTGGAAATGAAGCAGCTGTTTAGTTTTTATTGCTTTAATAAAAAAAATTATAATAATAAGAATGTTACTGGTTCCTTCATTTAAGTCAAAGTCACTTATTTTTATTATGTTAAAAGAAATTGTGTCTCATTGTAAGATTGCTAATTATTAATCTTAAATTAAAGGTACAAATTCTTAAATTCAGATCAATGAAGTAAACAAAATACCTTTTTTAAGAACTTTAAATAACTGAATTATGAATGCTTGTAATAAAAAAAAACTTGTTAAACCTATTAAAGTATTTCAGTGGTTATATTAAACCAATCACATCTAATATTACTTCCATACACACAGGCTGTTTTTGTAGTTTTCATCTAATCGTAACTTAAATTTGGCTTCAGACCATAAATAACAATTCAAATCAAGAAGAATGTATTTTAGTGTACAGAAAAGCCATTAAAAGAGGTAGAAAGACAAAGTTTTACACATACAAACATCACTGTGTATTTATCAACCACAACAACTAATGTAGATTAACGGGCTGTATGAGTGGAGATGTGACCGTCTTTTACACATTTCACAGCAACAAAGAAGATTAGTGAGCAAAGATGGATGATTTAATATTTAATATTAATGTTCCAGAACTCTGATTTAATCAAATTATTGTTAACAACAACAAACAAACAGTTCTGACTCTCAGATTGTTTGTTTTTCTAGTAAAGTTCATCAAAAAACATTCATAAAACATAAAGTCTATCAATCGCTTTGCATAAGAATTCAAAATTTATTATTATTATTATTATGGGCCGATAATTGATCGGCCGTAATTTAATAATCCAGATTGGTAATAATATAAATTTCCCACCATCAGCTGATAATTGATCTGCTCTAATGATTATCGTGCATCCCTAATTTCCTGTCTATTTCCAGTTTTTCAAGGTTTTCCAGGACGTTTGAACCCTGTTTTCCTTTTGTTTATGTGACTAGATTTCTTGTATCATAGGTGTTGTTGCAACCATTTATTTCCCACTGGGAATAAATAAACCTATAAATAAACATATCTTCTTGTTGTTGCTGTAGAAAATAAACAATAACAAGTCTTTAAAGTCGGTTAATATTTCGTATATTGTCACTGTGATCGGTCTGTTTGCCCCAAAGTTGAACAGAGAATCAGATCTTTACTCTCTAAAAGCTCCGTGTTAAAAGTTTAAACAAAGCCTGAAAACTGCAGCGCTCAGAGGGAGCATCAAAAAGGACCCAGTCGCAGACGGCAGAGCGGGCTCCATCCTTTCCCACAGATCTGAATCAGGGGTTGAATCTTTGGCACACAAAAGAACGTTTTCAGGATTGTTTTTTCCATCTTCCATCAAAAATTACCTTAAAATTTACAGTAACTTACTGGAAACAATTAACCAGCAAGTTACTGTAAATATGTTTTACAGTAGACATACTGTACTTCCATTTACAGTATTGGTGTAGTTACTGTAAAATAAATACCAATTAAATACTGTGATTTCAGTTGTTTTTACAGTGCTGGTTTATTTACTGTACAAATAAAAACAGTTAAGCACTGTTATTTTTTTAAATGGTATTGTAAATGGCAATACTGTACTATTAACAGTGGGTAACAGTTGATCATTGTAAATTCAGTTACTCACTGTACAATTTAAATACTGTATCACTTTGACTTACTATTATCCATCATTAATAGAATGACCCATATTCTAAAATATTTCAATTAACTACAGAAAACAAGAAAATTGTTAACACAATTATTTATTGAAGACATTTGGTGAACAGGAACATGATAAAGCACAGGTTACCAAACTTTTCAGACCAAGTACCACTTCAGAACCAACACAACAATGAAAGAGACACCTCTACTTTGTCTGACTACTGCAACTACCCAGGCCCGCCTGAAACATTAGAAACAAGAAATCAAAAAATAA